TTTTTTTTGGTCCCAGCCCATTTTCATGGGACTATGACTACATCAAACAGGGTGCATGGGTGAACAGTCAATCGCAGCTGGCAGAAGAAAGTACTCGCTTGGTTGTGGGCCGCTGGGTAGGCATCGCTTTACACAAGATGAGACTGGGCATAGGGATCAGAGACCACGAAATCCATCACTAAGAAAAATGATTTTGGTGGATTCGATACCTGAAAATTTCACAAGTTTTTCTGAATGCAGTAGTCGATCAATGGCCATTTTCAGCAAAGCATAGGCTAGCAGAGTTTTCATATTCCTAAATGACTTATTTCATATTTCAATTGCGTCGGCGGAAAAGAACTGACAGAATTTAACTGTACGTGCCAGTGGAAGAAAGAAGAAAACCTCGTGGTAACTTTTACTTCAAGGGTTCTCTAGATGCTTTAACCCCCTTTAAATAGATTGCGTTTCGAAGATTTGACCATCTAGAATCCAACCTTTCAAAGTTATTGTCGATTACTCTAACTAGTCTCAACTCCTGCCATCCCCAACAAAAGGTAATCACATTTTAGGCCTAATTTTTACCAATTACATTGCTTCTTTTTTGTTGCTTTCAAAATGACCCTTGTTGATAGTGACCACGGGTTAATTCATTCTTGCCTATCGCTTGTCTTTTTAAAGAAGAGCAGCACTATTTGGACCACGCAGTCGTAAATTAGGTATACTTTACTTTGACTTTGATAGCTGTCCTCTTGGGGTTTGATGATAGGTTATACACGTTTTGCGTCTTAAGTTGGAAACGCTCATTTGTGTTTTTACAGCACCCCTATTAACTGGCTTCTAAACACATTATTATTATTCCTCCCTATAACGGGGATTCTCAAGGGTTTTGACATCATCTCCTCATTTTGACCGCAAACAGTCTGTTGTCGATTACGGCAGAATCCTCTTTTGTTGCCATCTGCTGGTAGTTTGGTCGGTCAGCAAGGAAGTTTCGTGGTCGCATCTCCCATGTACGATTTGATGACAATCTCAGCCATTAATGTCCCCTCGGCTGGACTCTTAGAGGACTGTGGCCAATCGCTTTTGACTTCCTCCCTTCTTACCACTCCAGTGCGAACAACCTCATCTAGTTTATGCTTTCTGGCTTGGTGATATCTGTTTCGAATCCCTAATACACTACCGTATGCATGTCAGTCCTGTCCGATCCGCATATTTACCCTTTTCCTCGGCGGCAGTTTTTTTTTCCTTGAAAGCAAACTAAATCATGTTCATATTCCCTCTTTCGAAAAAGGGTTTTTTCGCTACCCGCTAATCGTTTTTAATATCTGGCCGTTTATTCTATAAACATGAACCGAATGCTGGACGTAGTCTCTCTTTTTGTTCTAAAATTCACTTTAAAATTTATTTTTATTTGCTATGATTGCACTCGCAAGGCTACTTAATACAGTAATTTATTTATTAAAGCCTAAGTGAAATCAGCAGAGACTGTGCAAAGACCAAGAGCATTGTCTGTCGATTGTAGAACATATTCAATGAAAGAGAGCTGGCAAGTGTCACAAGGTCAGACTTTGCGGAGCCCATACTAAACCACAGTCGGTAGGTCATTGTATTTTAAGTGACATATGATCTCATCTTTGATCAAGGTTTCTACGATTTCTAAAGCTGTTGGGACGGTGTTTATTGCCCGGAGCCGAAAGGTGTGATTCCCGGAGCAA